TCTCTTCCCGGACTATCAGTGTGCTCCCTTCCTATTCTGCCATCTTGCCGCTCTCCCACAATAATTCTTGATAGTTGTGAAGATTACATTTTGTTCATGGATTTTTTCCTTATAAATATATAAAGAAAAAATTTGCAATTGAACATATATTTATTCCTTTACAGATTTATTCACTTAGAAATCTTTTATTTAAGATATATAAATTTCATGCATTTCATATACAAAAATTTAGGAACATAAAATACTCCTCAACCTTCCCTCCCACCTGCACTTCTACCCTTCTTCCTCTTCCCTCTCCTATTTTCTTTTCATATTTTTTCACTAAGATCTATTTTCAATGAACTTTGTACACATAAGATTAACACTATACTAAGCCCCACTGTTGGTGGGAATGCAAACTGGTAAAGCCACTATGGAAGTCAGTTTGGAGATTCCTCAGAAACCTGAATATAACCCTACATACAACCAGGCATCCCACTCCTTGGAATTTACACAAAGGAAATTAAATTGGCAAATAAAAGAGTTGTCTGCACCTCAATGTTTATTGCAACTCAATTCAAAAATAGTTAAGACATAGACTCAACCTAAATGCCCATCACCAGAAGACTGGAAAAAGAAATTATGGGACATGTACTCTATAGGATCCGATATGGCAGTAAAAAACAATGAAATCTGGTCATTTGCAACAAGATGGAGGGAATTTGGAAAACATCATGCTGAGTGAAATTAGCCAGTCCCAAAGGGACAAATATCATATGTTCTCCCTGATCGGTGACAACTAACCAAGCACCAAAAAGGAAACCTGTTGAAGTGAAATGGACACTATGAGAATCAATGACTTGATCAGCCCTTGTCCTGACTGTTGAGGAACAACTTACTACTTTATTCCTTTTAGTATTTTTTTTGTTCTACTTAATACCATTGGTTGAACTCTGTAATTAACACACAATTATTCTTAGGTGTTTAAATTTAACTGAAAAATGATCCCTATTAAATATAGAGTGGGGGCCAGCACCATGGCTCAATAGGCTAATCCTCCGCCTGCAGCGCTGGCACCCCAGGTTCTAGTCCCAGTCAGGGTGCCGGATTCTGTCCCAGTTGCTCCTCTTCCAGGCCAGCTCTTGCTGTGGCCCGGGAGTGCAGTGGGAGAATGGCCCAAGTCCTTGGGCCCTGCACCCGCATGGGAGACCAGGAGAAGCACCTGGCTCCTGGCTTCGGATCAGCACGGTGTGCCGGCCGCAGTGCACCAGCCACAGCAGCCATTGTAGGGTGAACCAACAGCAAAGGAAGACCTTTCTCTCTGTCTCTCTCTCTCACTGTCACTCTGCCTGTCAAAAAAAATATAGAGAGTGAGAATAAGAGATGGAGGAGATGCACAGTTCAGCACATGCTCACTCGGACTTACCTCTAATGGTAGAGTTAGAGACATGCCAGGGATTCCAATTCAATCCCATCAAGATGGCATGTACCAATGCCATCTCACTAGTCCAAGTGATCAATTTCTGCTCACAATTGATGATAATGATAGGATTAAGAGTCAAAGGGATCACATAAATAAGACTAGTGTCTGCTAATAATAACTGATAGAATTAAGAAGGAGAGAACAATCCAACATGGGAAGCGGGATACACAGCAGACTCATAGAATGGCAGATGTCCTAAACAGCACTCTGGCCTCAGAATCAGCCCTTAAGGCATTTGGATCTGGCTGAAAAGCCCATGAGAGTATTTCAGGCATGGGAAGCCAAGACACTGTGGCAAAAAAAAAAAAATCTAAATGAAAGATCTCTGTGAGTGAGATCCCAGTGGAAAGAATGGGCCATCAAAGAAGGAAGCACCTTTCTCTGAAGGGAGAAGAGAACTTCCACTTTGACTATGGCCTTGTCTAAATAAGATCAGAGTTGGCAAACTCAAGAGGCTTTCATAGCCTTGGCAGCTCATGAAAAGAGCCTAGGATGATTACTGATGTCATAAATAAGAGTGTCAATTGTTAAATCAACAGCAGGAGTCACTGTGCACTTACTCCCCATGTAGGATCTCTGTCCTTAATGTGTGGTACTATGTTAATCAACGGTATAACTAGTACTCAAACAGTACTTTATACTTTGTGTTTCTGTGTGGGTGCAAACTGTTGAAATATTTACTTAGTATATACTAAGTTGATCTTCTATATATAAAGATAATTAAAAAATGAATCTTGATGAAGAATGGGATGGGAGAAGGAGTGGGAGATGGGATGGTTGCGGGTGGGAGGGTGGTTATGGAGGGAAGTAGCTGCTATAATCAAAAAGTTGTACTTTGGAAATTTATATTTATTAAATAAAAGTTAAAAATAAATAAAATTAAAAATTAACACTATAAGCAAAGATTTCAATGAATGTTATAAAAAAAGAAACTGTTCTCAACAGTCACGACAAAGGCTGTTCAAAATTATCACATCTTGAAGTGTCAATTTTACTTCTATAGATTACTTTTTAGGTACTCTATTAGTTGCCGCAGATCAGGGAGAACGTTTGGTGTTTGTCTCTTGGGGACTGACTTATTTCACTAAGTATAATGTTTTCCTGTTGCATCCATTTTGTTGTAAATGACCAGATTTCATTTTTCTTTTTCCGTTGTGTAGTATTCCACGATGTACATTTCCCATAATTCTTTATCCAGTCTTCAGTTGATGGACATCTAGGTTTATTTCATATCTTAGCTATTGTAAATTGAGCTGCATTAAACATGGGGGGTACAGATAACTCTTTTTTAAAAATATTTATTTATTTACTTGAAAGAGTTACACAGAGAAAGAAGGAGAGGCAGAGAGAGAGGTCTTCCATCCGCTGGTTCACTCCCCAGATGGCCACAATGGCCGGAGCTGCGCCGATCCAAAGCCAGGAGCCAGGAGCCTCTTCTGGGTATCCCACGAGGGTGCAGGGGCCCAAGGACTTGGGCTATCTTACACTATTTTCCCAGGCCATAGCAGTAGAGCCAGATCAGAAGTGGAGCTGCTGGGACTCCAACCGGCACCCATATGGGATGTCAGCACTGCAGGTGGCGGCTTTATCCGCCATGCCACAGCACCAGCCCCAGATAACTCTTTAATATGCTAATTTCATTTCCCTTGGATAAATTCCCAGGAGTGGGATGGCTGGGTCATATGCAGGTCTATATTCAGATTTCTGAGGTATCCCCATACTATCTTCCACAGTGACTACCAGATTACATTTCCACCAACAGATTAGGGAAGCCTTTTCCCAACATCCTTGCCAGCATTTGTTGTTTGTTGATTTCTGTATGAAAGCCATTCTAACTGGGGTGAGGTGAAACCTCATTGTGGTTTTGATTTGTATTTTCCTGATGACTGGTGATACCTGTGCTTTTTCTCAAGTTCTGTTGGCCATTTGGATTTCCTCTTTTGAAAAATGCCTTTTTGGGCAGGTGCTATGGTACAGAAGGTAAAGCCACCACCTGTATTGCCAGCCTCTCATATGGGGCACCAGTTCATATCCTGGCTGCTCCACCTTCTAGCCAGCTCCCTGCTAATATGGCCTGGGAAAGCAGTGAAAGATGGCCCGATGTGGGCCATTGCACCTATGTGGGAGATCTGGAATTAGACTTGGTTTCAGATCGGCCCAACTCCAGCCACTGCAGCCATTTGGGGAGGATGAACGAGTGGATGGAAGACCTCCCTGTCTGTCTCTACCTCTGCCTTTCTGTAGCTCTGCCTTCCAAATAAATTTTTTAAAAAAAGCTGAAAAAGAAAAATGCCTGTTCAAGTTCTTTGCCTACTTTTAACTGTTTTGTGTTGAGTTTCTCAAACCCTTTATAGATTCTGGATATTAATCCTTTATCAGTTGCATAGTTTGTAAATATTTTCTCCCATTCTGTTGGTTGCCACTTCACTTTGCTGAGTGTTTCTTTTTGCAGTACAGAAGCTTCTCAATTTGGTGTAATCCCATTTCTCAGTTTTGACTTTGATTGCTTGTGCTTCTGGGGTCTTTTCCAAGAAGTCTCTGCCTATGCCAGTGTCTTATCAGGTTTCCCCAATGTTCTCTAATAATTTGATGGTATCAGGTCTTAGATTTAGGTCCTTTCATCCATTTGGAGTGACTTTTGTGAAAGCTGTAAGGTAGGGGGTCTTGCTTCACACTTCTGCATGCAGAGATCCAGTTTTCCCAGAAACATTTGCTGAAGAGACTGTGCTTGCTTCGGGGGTTGATTTGGCTCTTTTGTCAAAGATAAGTTGGTTGTAGATGTGTGGACTGATTTCTGGAGTTATATTCTGTTCCATTGGTCTACCCATCTGTTTTGTGCCAGTACCAGGCTGTTTTAATGATAACTGCCCTGTTGTATGTCTTGAAATCTGGCATTGTGATGCCTCCAGCTTTGTTTTTGTTGAATAAGATTACTTTAGCTATTTGGAGTCTCCTGTATTTCCATATTTCAGCATAATTTTTTCTAGATCTGAGAAGAATATTGTTGATATTTTGATTGGGATCTCATTGAATCTGTAAATTGCTTTTGGTAGTATGGACATCTTGATAATATTGATTCTTGCAATCCATGAACATAGAAGATTTTTCCATTTTTTTTGTGTGTCTTCTTCTACTTCTTTCTTTAATGTCTTGTAATTTTTACCATCGTGATCTTTGATGTCCTTGGTTAAATTTTTTAATAAGTAAAAGCAGGTTGTCAAAAGAGATATTTGTACACACATATTCATAGCAATATTATCCATTATAGCCAAAAGATAACTCATGTTGTATTCCATATAACTACCATCAGGAAAGTGTTTAAATGATTTTGATATCTCTGTGTTTTAGAATATACCTTTTAAATACTGTATTTTCCACCAAGTGTTTTTCCACTTCTACTGATAAATTAATTTTTTCCACTCTCCCACTATATTGTCATCTTTTTTCTTCTAATATTGTACTCAGCATTTCTCTCCTTAGATTGTAATTGTAATGAATTATGTATATCTATTCATTCTCAAATATCCACACTCAAAGATCCAGCCTCAAATGCAGGCAGTAATGGAAGATGTGAAGACCCTTTTTTTAAATTTACTATTCCATTGTTCTCATCATTTTATAAAATAAGAAAAACATGTTATCTCCCAAAAAAGAAGGTTATCTTTAATTAAATGAGAATCATTTAACTTGAGTAAGTTCAGGTTAATGAAACACCATATATTATTGTTTTCTCATGCTGCATTGCAGTAATAGAAACCTTACCACTGATTGGCAGTACTTCTCAGACTTGTTTCTTGAGAACTACTGTTACCAGACTGCTTCTATACAATGCTTTTCTGTCCAATGAGAAAGATGCATTAGTCTTCCAAATATGAAATCTCAACAATCTTCAAGAAATAGTTTGAGGAGATGGTTAAAACAAACTGCTTTCTGCTTTTTTGTGTACATGTGTGTGTGTATAGGGCCAATAAGCTGGCAGCATCCGAATGGAATATTCATGCTATCCACTCCCCTTATTTGAAAACCCAAAACATAAAACGAGACAAGAAGCAGAGTATGGATATGCCAATAGATTATGAGAGACCACTTTCTTCCAGTTTGAATGAAATTGCTAACATTAAATTTAATACTGGGGTAAGCATATTCACTAGAATCATAAACCTAATGTGTTTGATTGGGGTATAAGATGTTCACATGTTTATGTCTAAGTCTTTAAAAATCTTTGAAGTTTAGCTAACCAGATGGACTGGTTAGTACTATAACTCTATTAACCTGATACAGGAGAAATAGATTCTAGATAAAGATCACAGTAGCTACTCTCATTTTTTAAAATTTAGTTTAGTTAATTTAATTGTTAATGGAAGTCTTAATTCAATGTGTACTCTCGTTATTGTCACTTCTCAGAATAACTTTGAAGGTTCTCCTTATAAATTTACTTTATGTTCAGTTCTGACAAGACCAATAGTTATGAGTATTGTACTCAGAAGACATTTGTTGATCAAAGTAAGGACATTTGCTCACTTTATATAAACTAGAGTAATCATGCAAAACATATTTATATAAGATGTTTTCCTCATACAGCAGAGAAAATAGAAAGATTATGTTTTAATACTGAATAATAGATATAATTTTGGTTTTCTAATCAGGAATACCATAATATTTTCATGAAGAAAATCATTTTCTTAAGATTTTCAGTAGAATTATATCAGGAGCCAGGTCTTAACCCTTTTACTTAATACCTTAAACAAATAAAATATTTTGTTAAGAGGCTGATGTTTTGGCATAAGAGGTTAAGCTGCCACCTGCAGTGCCAGCATCCAGTACGGGCACCAGTTTGAGTCCTGACTGCTCCACTTATGATCCAGCTCCCTGCTAATGCACCTGGGAAAGCAGTAAAAGATGGTCAAAGTGCTTGTATCCCTGTACACACATGGGAGACCCAGAAGAAGATCCTGGCTCCTGGCTTCAGATTGGCTCAGCTCCAGCCATTATGGCCATGTTGGGAGTGAACCAGTAGATGGAAGATTGATCTCTCTCTCTTTCTCTGCGCCTCTGCCTCTGCCTCTCTGTAACTACGTCTTTCAAATAAATAAATAAATCTTTTTTGAAAAATATATATATATTACTGTAATTACTCCTTTCAAATAAAATACTTTAAAAATTGTTGGCTGGCACCACAGCTCACTAGGCTAATCCTCCGCCTGCGGCACCAGCACCCCGGGTTCTAGTCCCAGCTCGAGCCCCGGATTCTGTCCAGGTTGCTCCTCTTCCAGTCCAGCTCTCTGCTGTGGCCTGGGAGGGCAGTGGAGGATGGCCCAAGTGCTTGGGGCCTGCACCCGCATAGGAGACCAGGAGGAGGCACCTGGCTCCTGGCTTCGGATCGGCACAGAGCGCTGGCCGTAGCAGCCATTTGGGGAAGACCTTTCTGTCTGTCTCTCTCTCACTGTCTAACTCTGCCTGTCAAAAAAAAATTGTTATTTTCTTGGGCTCATTTCAAAGCATACATTTGTTTTATATGTGTATATTTTCACCATGTTATTTTTAAGGATTTATATTAATAGGCTTCAGCATGAATATCCTACTTGGGTCACTAATGTAATGTAATGTAATGTTGTTTCCCTCTCTTTTAGTTTCCACTTTACTTCCAGCAATTTTGTTCCATGTTTATAAAAAGGGCACTATTCAGTTTGCGGAACTGGAAGTTGATGTTGCTACAGATAATAGTAATTTCAGTTGTCACTACGTATCTCTTAATAAGTCTGGATTTAGGTCATGGTGATGTACCTGCCAGGAAAATGGATTTGAGTCAATATGGTCAAACCACTGTGCCTTACTCAATTTCAGGAAATTCTGATTTGGCTATGAAACTCATAAAGAACCTTGAGATTTTTCTAAAGTCTAAGAATCAAGAACTACGGGAAATACCAGGTAAGATCCATAGAGGGGTATAAGAAGACTATTTTGTATATCTTGGAAGAAAGGACTTTGGTTTTTAGTTACTCATTTGTTTATTTTCCTACTAATTACCAGTATTACAGAGGCAGTTAAAATCAGAAGAAAAATATACAATTTAAGATAATTGGCAACAAAAGTCAATAATTAATGGACATGGTTTGACTGTAGGAGGTCTTTCGGCTAATTGCATTACCTTTCAGAACCAAAATACTATATTGTTGTGACAGCATAGAACTTTTATTCTAACCGGAATACTGATATTTCTCTGAACTCACAGGTAAAATGTTGATTCCAAGACCTGAAAGCTGTCCTTTATTATTTTGGCCATTCTAAAAACAAGCAGCTGAAGACTTAGTAAGCTCACTCATCAGAACTAAATCTTTGAAGATATTATAAATAACTGTAAATAATTTATAATTTTCAATACATAATGCTAGTAAAAACCATACAAAATACATTCTCTTTGTATTATCTATTAATGCTAAAAACCATTTCAGTAGCTTATTATTTATCTATTGCTGTGTAACAAATTACACAGCACCCAGAGATGTAGGATGTGAACTTCTGAAAACATGGAATTAACCCATTCTCCCATGAAAGCAGCAAAACAGTTGCAGAACGTTTTAAAATTCAAGCATTTTGTCGTGACAGAATCCGGCTCCTGAAGAACCCTGTCTTCCCTGCCAAGAGCAAGACCACTGGGAACCTGAACTGTCCTGGGGCTTGAAGGAACCCCTGGTCAGAGCTGCAGACTCTGTTGGTCCTCCCTAAACTGAAAAAATCCCTTCACTCTGCGCAGCTTCAAAGTAACCGCTGCTGTTGAGGGACAGCCTCTAAGGTCAATAACATTTCAGGCAGGAGCTACCTATTAAAAACTAACATATTCAGGCCAGCTCTCCTCCTAGGCCAGCTAGGTATGGAAGTCAACAAGTTCACACCTCCATTATGATGTCTCTCCCAGTATCACATGTGAAGAGATAGCTAGAACTGGGCCTCATATACCTGGCCAGGCCTTAATGCCCACCGGAATATTATCAAACCCCTCCTGTCAGTTTCTGTTCCCTCTCCATGGGGAAAACTCCTTCCTCCTTTGGACAGCACCTTATATCCTCTCTAATGGTGACTCTGTCCTTTGTTTTGACCCTGTATATTTAATCTGTTTGTTAGATCTATTTTCCTCCACAGGAAGCAGTGAAATTCTAGATGACCATGCACATAAAATTTGAAGGAGATAGTTTCTGTGAGCTGGCATGTATAATTAACGTGTTTCAAAAGTTCTTACAGCCCACCTAAGATGTAAAAAGGCCCAGCCTGCTGGGTTCTGGGCCCTCTGCCACATGATTGGTCTGTGTGCACACTGGCAGTTGGTTGACCTCTGCAAGTTAATTTTCTTTGAATAAATTTGGTCTGGCTGTGAATTCATTAAAATAAAAAATCAATTTCATTAAAATAGGTCTGCAACATTTTAACTGAAAGTTATTCCCGTCACCCTTTTCTCTAAACTCAGTGGTAAGGTATCCAGAAAAGCCAGCAGCCTTGCACAGTTTACAAGAAAGGACTGACCTCTCTGGAAATCTGTTGGAAGCCCCATCTCTAAAACAGTGTCAACTAACAGCCCACTGTCAGACTCCATTCCTAAGGCATTGTTATTACTGGATTTCAACACAGCTCTGTCAAAAAAAAATCTCTGTGCCCATAAATACTAAAACAAAAGCAATCTGCTGGTAACATCACACCTGGCTAAAGCTATTATTCAGTTGGGCAAAATATATATGCCTGGCCAAAGTTAAAAAGGATCCATCTGAAGGGTCTATGTTGGAACCAGCATTCTGGCATAGTAGGTTAGGCTTGCACCTGAGGTGCCAGCATCCCACATGGGCTCCAGTTCAATCCTGGCTGCACCACTCCAAATCCAGCTCCCTGCTGAGGCACCCGGGAAAGCAGTAGAAGATGGCCCAAGTCCTTGAGCCCAGCACCCACATGGGAAACGTGGAAGAAGCTCTGGACTCCTGGATTTGACCTGGCCCAGCCCCAGTCATTACAGCCATTTGGAGAATGAACCAGCAGATGGAAGACCTCTCTCTGTCTCTAACTCGCCTTTCAAATAAATAAAAAATATTCTTTAAAAAAATAAAAATGAAAGGGTCTTATGTTGTAAAGGGTCTAGATGGTTTAGAATTGCAGTGTACATAGCTAAAAATATACTGGGGAAGGAGAAAGCTCAGAGTCATTCACCTCTGGTTGAAGTTAAAGACCTGTACAAGGGGCCAGCACTGTGGCATAGCAGGTAAAACCACCATCTGCAGCGCCAGCATCCAATATGGATGCCAGTTCGAGTCCTGGCTGCTCCGCTTCCAATCCAGCTCTCTGCTGTGGTCTGGGAAAGCAGCAGCAGATGGCCCAAGTGCTTGGGCCCCTGCACCTGCATGTGAGACCCAGAAGAAGCTCATGGCTCCTGCCTTCGGATCGGCACAACCCCAGTGGTTGCAGCCAATTGGGGAGTGAACCAATGGACAAAAGACCTCTCCCTTTCTCTCTCTCTCTCTCTGCCTCTCCTTCTCTCTGTATGTAACTCTGACTTTCAAATAAAATAAACAATTCATAAAAAAAAGGACTGTACAAGCAGAAAGTAAAAGTTGAAGCTGACTTGTAAACTCATGAAATTTGAAGGTTTGCCTTCATGTAAAGATCTACTTGGCAAAGTATGGAAGATTTTCAGGCTCGAAGTATTTAAGGAAATTGTTTTGCTTGTCACCAAATTATCAGCTATTAGAAATATTTTCAAAATACTAAAGGAAATATGTTTAAAGAATTAAAGGAAAAATGGCAACCAGTGGGTTAAGCCACCACTTGTGATGCCAATTCCCATATGAGAGAGCCAGTTTAAATTCCAGCTCTGCTTCTGAACCAACTTTCTTCTGATGCACAGGGGGCAGCTGATGATGGTCCAAGTACTTGGGACCTGCCACCGGTGTGGGAAACCAGATAAAGTTCCTGGCCCCCCTGGCTGATGGTGGCCCAGCTCCAGCTATTGCCGGAACTTAGGGAGTGAACCCACAGATGGAAGTTTGATGTCTTTCTACCTACATTCCAAATAAATAAAAATTTTAAATAGTCAAACAGCAACAACAAAGAACTTAAAACAGTAAAGTCTAAGTACATATTTTAAAACAAAAAGGCAGGATAAACAAACAGGCACCAAAAGGAAATAAGACAATGGAAACCAAATGGCAAAATGGAAGATAAATCCTCCCAATCAATATTACATTAAATGTAAATGAAAGAAACACTCCAAAAGTTTTCAGTCATGATTTTTATACAGTCCTACTTAAATGAAATGGACAAGTTCCTGGGGAAAGAAAACACAGGTGACAAAAATTACAAAGCATCAAATGGAGATACATGAATGAATTAAGAAAAGAAATGAAAGACTTGTACACAAAATATTGTTGAGGAAAATTGAACAAATCTCTATACATGGAGAGACATTTTGTGTCATGGATTAGAAGACTGAATATTGTTAGGATAGTAGTTCCTCCAACATTTGTAGATTCAGTGCCATACAGACTGACCCAAATATTTATATGGAAATGAAAATGACCTAAGCAACCAAAATAATTTAAAAAACAAAACAAAACATGTCTGTTTTAGATAAGAAAATAGCAATAATTTTTAATTTTTATCAGCTTATGGACTATATCTGTGAGATTGTTATAGAGATCAGTGATGGGGTAGAAAGATAAAATATTTGAAATAGCCAATATAGGAAATTTTAAAAGCAGTGACAAAAATGTTCTTGATCCTTCCTCTACAACATATGTAGTAGGGATATATTACATGCTGACTCATTGACTGATTTTTTCTTTTTTAGGTAATGTAAATAATTACTTAATGCAAAGTAAAGAGTGTCATGACTTCTGCATTATTGCATTCTCCATTAAGGTTGAGGAAGATAAAACAGTACTTACTATTTTGTTCAATAATGAAGCATACCATTCAGCTGCAACATCCCTGGCAGTGTTAGACAACATACTTTTTATGTCACTTTCTGGCTTAAATGCCTCCATTACAGTCTCCAACAAGCCTCAGCCTCTCCCCATCTATGGTTCTACATGGTGTTGTATGACTTTCTTTTTACTGGAATTGAGTCTTAAGATGTTCCTTGTTATCTGGACAAATCCATTTGAAAATATCTACTGATATCAGCATTTTCACTTTTATTTCATCTTCTGTAGGCCTATAAATGGATTACAAATAGTATTATGTTTGGCTTTTGGCATTTCCGTTGTGGTCGGTAACTTTTGTCTTCAGACAGTGATTGAGAGAATCAATAAGTCAAAGCACATCCAGTTCGTGAGTGGGGGTCTAGTACTTACTTACTGGCTTTCTGCTTTGTTGTGGGATCTCATCAGTTTCTTCATTCCTTGCTGTACTACTGGTGAGTGTTACCTGAAATTTCATGGAGAGTCATATTCCTATGTTGTCCCGCCAAAAATAAAACTATTCAACTAATTGCATCCTAAAGTTAACACATCAAAACTTGAAACTATGTTGACTTGTTATACTAGAGAATATATTGTAGAAACTCATTATGCAAACATTCTCTTCATGAAGAATTTTTTCGTTGCAAAATCTGTCTTAAATTGGCTTCCTATGTTTTCTCACCATTTTGCATTGGCAGAAAACACTCTGTGAAAGTGTAAGGACTATTATCTGTCCCTCACCACTACCCACTAATTCCCAATGCTGATCCCCCTGGTAAAGTTGAAACGTGACAAAGTTAAGGTTTAAGACCTAGATAAGGATTCCTGATGCTATTCACATTCACCTACCCATTTTCATATCCTCATAGCTAGCCAGGTTTGCAAAGCAGAATTACTTTTAATTCAGTAATGAATTTTAGACATTGGAGAAGGGTAGAGACAATGAGCTTGAAAGGATGTACAATATCTTTTTCTTAAAGATTTTATTTATTTATTTATTTGAGAGGTAGAGTTACAGACAGTGAGAAGGAGAGACAGAGAGAAAGGTCTTCCATCTGTTGGTTCACTCCCCAAATGGCCACAGTGGCCAGAACCATGCCAATCTGAAGCCAGAAGCCAGGTGCTTCTTCCCTGTCTCCCATGTGGGTACAGGGGCCCAAGGACTTGGATCATCTTCTACTGCTTTCCCAGGCCATAGCAGAGAGCTGGATTGGAAGAGGAGCAACCGGGACTTGAACTGGCACCCATATGGGATGCCAGCACTGCAGGCAGAGGATTAACCTACTATGCCATGGCGCTGGCCCCCGTACAGTATATTCTAATGCAATGTTTTTGCTCATTAATAAGCCGTGGTAACTTTCTAAATTTCATATACATATTGGGAATTAGGGATACACAAAAGCTATCTGATTAAAGGAGGTATAAATGTGTTAAGGAGATAAAGTTCTTTACTGAGAACATAAATACTATAATATATGTTCTCTTGCCTCAAATAACTCACTGTTTTGCTAATGGACGCAGAAGTAAAAATAGGTCATTGTAAAACAGCCTTATTGTTATTATAAAAATGAACTATGATTCCTAATTCAAACTATTCTGTGGAACCATGAAATTAGTTTTGGTATGGTAGAAAAAGGATCATTTGGTTCTATAGCCGTGGTAAATGTGTAATACTGCATAGTTGCCCTAGTATTTTTCTGAGATGGAGTGAGGATCCCAGTAGGTAGAACAGCTGCTCAGTGGGAGCCAGAGGTTAAGAGTGGGTTAGAGAGTGCACAGCAGCCGTTCCTATGTCTTGCCATGTCAGTGCTGTGGCTAGTATTCTCAATGCAAGCCCCTTTGGCTCCCAGCCCACCAGTCAACCAGTATGGCAAGGGAAGGCCACCATTCTTTGAGAGGGCTGCTCTTCACATATTTCATTATAGGCATTAGGAAGACTGACCCATGAATGGTTCCTACTTTACTATCTCCCCTCCATGCAAGTACAGTGTTAAAGTCAATCAGACAGTCCCTGAGTGAGTCTTCTTCTCCATTCCAAGGTTTCATTGTTTCTATGGTTCTTTTAAACTTGGCTGGCATATGTAGCTCTCATTTCTCATTCAATAGTTACACAGGAGAGTAAAAAAGGGGTAAAAGCATCAGTTAATCATATTTATACTAATATTGCTTATACCAATATTTATGGCTCATGCAAAAAGTTAGTTATCTTGTGTTTTTATGGAACACCATTCAGATGTCACAATTATCTGAAATTATAAGCAAGGGAACTGATTAAGGCACAGAGAAGTTAGTTATTTACCTGAGTTCACCCTCACAACTGTGGGGAGCAACTCGGACTATACTGTTACTGGAATTAAGACTTATTCTATGCATCTGCTCTCCACAATGTGGTGGGGAGAGGAGCGTACAGCTTCTACCCAGCTGCCCCTTACCAACTTGATAAGCTGCAAGAGCCGCTCCTGATTGGAGGAGAGCGGCCGCGCTCGGCGTGGGTGCAGAGCACGGATTGGAGGAGAGGACTATATAGGAGGAGAGAGACGGCATGGTGGTGTGTGGTTGGTTGGAGAGTGCGTTGGAGTTCGCGGGGAAGTTCGTACTTCGTTCTTTCTCACTTCTCTCTATCATTCTTGCTTTGGGAGTTTGCTGTTTACTTTTTTACTTTACTATAGAAAGGACTTGTAAAAAAAGGGAACAACAAGTGTCCGGTCCGGTGCGGCTCCTCCGCAGTGCGGAGGAGCAGCAACAACCGTGATGGGGGTTTCTCCAAAGCCACTTTCATTTTACACTCAAGTCAACTCGGACGATATAATTCCCACTTATTTCTTTTTTTAAAGATTTATTTATTTATTTGAAAGTCAGAGTTACACAGAGAGAGGAGAGGCAGAGAGAGAGGTCTTCCATCCAATGGTTCACTCCCCAGATGGCCGCAATGGCCAGAGCTGTGCTGATCCGAAGCCAGGAGCCAGGAACTTCTTCCAGGTCTCCTACATGGGTGCAGGGGCCCAAGGACTTGGGCCATCTTCTACTGCTTTCTATAGCAGAGAGCTGGACAGGAAGCGGAGCAGCCAGGTCTCAAACTGGTGCCCATATGGGATGCCAGCGCTTCAGGCCAGGGTGTTAACCCACTGTGCCGCAGTGCTGGGTCCCCCACTTATTGCTGCTCTCATATTTGCAACTTCCTCTAAAACTCTTACACTGAATTTGATAAGAACTTCTCTGTCCTTTGATCTGGTAGCTCTGTCTTCCACCCAAGATTCCCCTTCATGATTCTCAGATTGGGGTTCTCCAAATGGCTTCTTGCTTTACTTGCTTTTCTGACTTACTATTCACTTACTGTCTTAAATGTGACATCCCTTACCCTGCTCTGGCTCTGTGAAATGCCACCCACTAATTACTTTTATATCCAGCAAGAGGCAAAATGCATCATTATGCTAGTGACCAGAGGCACTGTTGCACCTTTTCTCTACCTGTCAAATTCACAATGCAGGCGAGACAAGTGCTAGCTAGGTATGCTGCTGCCTCCAATCCTAATGAACTCCCTGCCCCACCACTTGCTTCACCTGCCACCTCAAGAGATTTATAGTAGGGTTTAGTCAGGCCTCTGCCTTCAGTAGTAAATCCATGCATGAACTTAGGAAAACTGAACAAATAACGTTTCTTAAGCAAAGTTCCAGTGATAGTGAGTTGTGAGCCTTCCCACTCATTCAGCCTTTCTTCATGACACATGAACCTTCTATCTGGAAGGCTGCTTTCCTGAACATAGAAAAGTCAGTTAAATATTCAATAAACATGAGCTCATGCTAGCATTATGAATATAACCGTGGAACAGACAAGGCTTGTCTTTAGATAAGCTAAATTCTAGTCAGTGTTAAAATTACTGTCCTAACCAAAGGATTGGACAGCTAATTCAATATTAATTTGGAAATATTCCTCAAAATCAAGCTGTTCTCATTGTACAGTTTAGTTCTAGAAAGTCATCAGGAAGCTCCTCTCCTTCAGGTTACAATGCATCAATCACAGCTTACTTTACAGTTTCATGTTTTCCATTCCCTTTATTCATGAATTATTTTCAGGTAAGGAGCCAAGCAGTGATTCACATTTTTTTCCTAAAGAACTAACCTAGTTTTCTAACATCTTTTTAAAAAAACAATTATTTCACGGAGTTGAAACACTGCTTTATTGTATCTGAACACTAACAGTATGCGTTCAGATTTTGATATTGTTTATTTGTTCCATTAGTATATCTATAATGTCTACTTATCAATCTGTTTTAATTATGGTAGTTTAATGATAAATTTAGTTATATTTTATGGTAAGGTTCTCAATTCCTCATTCTCCCGCATATGTCTGTTTATATTAACATATTTGTTTACAAGTAAACTTTAGAATCAGCTTATCTTATTTCTCAAAAAACCCTGTTGCTATTTTTGTTTATATTAACTTATGGAAAATTTACATTTTGTCCATATTAAGTCAGACCCTTTCTAATAACAGTGTATGTCTCTTCATTTCCCCAAGTAGAGATCTAAAATTATTTTTTTTTTGACAGGCAGAGTGGATAGTGAGAGAGAGAGACAGAGAGAAAGGTCTCTTTTGCCATTGGTTCACCTCCAATGGATGCCACGGCTGGCACGCTGCGGCCAGCGCTCCACGCTGATCCGAAGGCAGGAGCCAGGTGCTTCTCTGGTCTCCCATGGGGTGCAGGGCCCAAGCCTTGGGCCCATCCTCCCTGCACCCGGGCACAGCAGAGAGCTGGCCTGGAAGAGGGGCAACCGGGACAGAATCTGGTGCCCCGACTGGGACTAGAACCCGGTGTGCCGGCGCCGCAAGGTGGAGGATTAGCCTATTGAGCCGTGGTGCGGCTAAATTTCTTTGAAGTAGGCTTGGAACTAGGGTGCTCCTAGGTTGCCATCATTTATTTCGACTAAGTGTGTAATTTCCTCTTAGTTGTGTAAGGGGAATTCAGAACAATTGTAGCTGTAAAGTTTTTTTTTTTTTTCACCTATGGTCAATTATCTCAATAGGCTTCCTTTAAGGCTATTTTCCAAGGATCTTGTAAACTTCTCAACAAGGTTTTCTTAGTTTAAACCCTTTCCTTTTATTAGTGAACTGCTAAGTAATTACTTTGTTGTTCAAC